TCAACCTACAGCCGCCGAGATCGCCGTTCCTCCTATCATGAAGGCCACTCTCGAGACCAACACCGTGAAGGCCGACCTCGTTCTCGACACTCGACGTATCACTCCAGATCTCGTTGGTGAACTCTTTACCTCTGAGGAGCACCGGAACAAGTATCGACTGTTCTACGACTGCGATACAGTGAGCCTAGTGGCCCTGCCCGATCATTTTGGAGTAACAATGCTTCTCCCGACATTCGGTATTGATGCCACTTCTTCCTCAAAAGGTTTGGGAACTGCTGCATGCTCATGATATTTGAACCTTGCGCCAGATTCGAACTTCACTTTACGTTTCACCTACTTGTACCACGTATTAGGTTTCACACCATTTCAATCACACATTACTCTTGTCTCACCTTGACAATTTCCGCAGCTTTCAACCGGCAGTTCGAGCTTATTTGACCTATTATCTCGTGGCCCCGTCTACATCATGGCGTCCCAGGACCTGATCTCCCAGTTCAATTCGGATGTCAATGGAATTCCTCCTTCCCAGCCGGATCGCTCTCGCACACCTCCCCGTCATCAACATGGATGGCACCAAGCGGTACCTGCGTTCCGTGGCCCGATGCACTATGCTATGGCGACCCATCGACCTTTCTGGAACCCGTCCGGAATACTGCCTCCGCCACCTACATCTCCATCGTTCCCAACACGCCCACCATGGACTCCACCTACGGCACCTTTTCCACCCACACCGCCTCCGTGTTCACAGACACCTCCCAACAATGTCAACTTTGCACCTCAACGTCATCCTTTTACACCGAGATCGCCGAGGCCTATGTCATCCCCGGGAGCAAGTTCTACTGTCAACGATGGATATACATGCAGACCAATCGAAATCCCACCAGTGGAGCAATGGAAACCTGATGTCGACTTCCACGACTCCAACAAAATCAATGGTCTGGATTTCCCTTCCAGAATCCGACAGAGCAGATTTTCCAGCTACAAGGACATTGAAGGGAATCTATTCTCATGGAACTTGGTGGTTTCATGAAACCTGGTGGCTTCAATGCCGGGCTGGGTTGAGGTGACCATCAGATCAGTATGTGTGCTAGCATGTGCATAGATTCACTGCAATTGCTGACGCCTATTGTGCAGTTAGTTACATTGTGTCTGCAAGGCTGTCACGGCCTGCAAGCGCTTTTGCAAGAAACAGAATCCATGGCCATGGACTCTTACACGCCTGGCCGGAAGTTTCTCTACTCTAGGTACGCTGGGTTTCTCACGCCCGGCCGGGAGGCAGCGGATTTCTTTCCTGTTTTTTGTGGAACCCAGGATCAAACTGACAGTCTTTAAAGATTTTTAAAGGCAGTAGCTAATCAAAACGAGAGGGGCTTTTGATTCTCGATTTTGGAAGGTATGTTTGTTTTTTTGCTTTGCTGGCTGCAACCATGAGGGCACCTGGGCCACAACGCATGTGGTGGTTGGATTTCGTCAGAAACAGTCCAATATAAGTTTTAACACAGCCATCGTTTTTTATTTGCATAGCTCAGTGGGCATACGCTGTGTGCCGCAGTCAACGGTCACTTCACAAAGATTTACTGTTTCAAGCTGGACAGTTCTTGTTGCGCCGGCCTGAGCAATGAAGCGGCCAGCTGCTAGTTGTTCAGCCATGCGCCGGCCAGCAGCCAAAGTCAGCCGCCCTGCAGCTGCAGTTCGGGAACCGTCGCCAGAGATCATGCATGCTTCAGACAGTGAAGATGTGGAACAGAATCTAGTTTCCAAACATATTTTTTGAATTGGCGAAAAGTTTGACTAATGTGTATTCATTTTCTAGATGGTGTGGTTACAAAATTCCATTTTCAGGAAAGATGGCGAGCAGAGTGACATCTTAGATGCCTCGGACTGTGACGTAGCTGAAGGCACTGAGACAGAGGAGATGGGCTGGGATGAGCGACAGCTTCCTGCAGTGGACTCGGTTGGGGTACCTGGGCTATTTTGAAACATCTTACCTCACTTCTGTTTTCTGTTCTTTTAGACTGCCATCATGTGTAAGAGGAAATTGTTATGGCCTTCCCTGTTTCTTCAAAATTTCTGGAGATCACGTGGGATGATTGCAGGTGGCCAACTTCATCAATGCCACCTTGGACAGCCAGCCTGAACTTGTGCAGCGAATCCAGACGGCCCTCGCCGATCGAGAAGTGACTGTTGCCTCGATATGTTCTGGTTGTGGTGTAGCTGAGATGTGCATCACCTCCATCAACGAGTACTTGGAACAACATGCTCCTGGGAAGGCCAGGACTTGTTGGGAGACAAAAACTTTTCAAGGTTTCCTGGGACCGCGTGTTTTTGGCAGGCTGGGCGTTTGGTTCTTTCCTTCAGCTGTGAGTGCGAGCCCTTCAAAATCAATTGGCTCCGCAAGGCTTTTCCGGATACCAAGGTTTTCACCGATATGAAGGACTTGCATACGGGCAAGGCCTTTGATGCAAAGTGCCAGTTTATGGCCACTGTTCCCAAGGCCATGATGTTTGGAAAAACTAGGTGCAGTGGTTCAAGCCCTGATTTTTTAAACAATCCCTTTCCGAAGTTAAGTGCTGATAGTTTTGATTTTATTCTGTTTAACCACCCCCATTCATTCATCCTGAGCCTTGTGAGATTGCAGCCTGGAAGGTGGATGTTGTGATCGATGGGTACCCGTGCAAGAGCCTGTCGAAGCAAAATTCGCAAGCTCGCAGCTTCTTGGATGAAAGTTCGAAGTCTGGAGAAGGGTTCAAGGCTTTGAAGGACTATGTGGACTATGCATCTCCGAGCGTGATTATCTGCGAGAATGTGGGGGTGATGGCGCACTCGCGGCGAGGATTTGGCGGTGAAAAGCCGATTGAGATTCAGCAGCACCAGTTCAACATTCGTGGATATTTTGGTTTCTACCAGACGGTCAATAGCAAGCAGTTTGGTCTCAGGCAGTGCCGCACCCGGGTGTATTCCATCTATGTGAAAAAGATCGAAGGAAACACGAAGTTCCTTTGACAAGTGTTGGTTGCAAAAGTGTTTTTTTTGGTCATTTTCCAGCATTGTTTGTCCTAAACATTTTCCCTCAACAACTCTCCAAAAGGGCCCGCGGTCAAAGGAAAGGGGTGGTTAAGTTAATGGCTTTTGTCTGTATCACAGGTTGCTCGGCTCTATCTTCAATTCCTTCAAGTGCGGCCTTCTTCCAGTCCATATGTTTTTGGATCATGCTGAAGATCCCGTTGTGGACAATGGCACCGCCCTCAAAACCAAAGCTGGCTCTGGGCAGAAGTGGAAGATTGGGTTCAAAGAGTGTTGCAAGGTTCTTGGAGAAGTAGCTTAGCATTTGCCATGATTTGACCTTTGAAATCCTTTTCAAAACTTTTGACAATAGATATGTATAGAAACCTCATTTTCAGACTTTTCTTCAAAGATCATAAAGGCCGATTATACATTTTTTCGAACTTGAACAGTTTAAAGTTCATTTCAGAAAGATTCAGAGGTTTCACTTATCTCTAGGTGGCATGACGCCAAGAGAGTTGAAGTAGATGGGCAATGCTTAGCCAAAGAGCCAAGGCCAAAGTCAAGAAGAACATGGATATTCTCCGGAAGTTCAACATGCCCTTGACCGACCGTGAATATGCCATCTTGGCTGTGAGCGTTACTGAGCTGGAAGCTGCAGGTTACACGCCCTATGAGTCCAAGTATCCCATCCAGGTCGATCCTTATTATTTTGTGTTCAGTACCGAGTTCACCTGTTTCCCACCACTACCCTACCAGGTTTCTGCTCACCAGGTTTTTGTCCTTTGGAAAAATCTGTCATGTGATGGAACAAATTTTGGCTGCTGGACGCTGAGGATCAAAATTTCCACAGGGCTACATGGACACGCAGTGATCCGACATTGTGTCCCTGCCTCCTGCCAGCTGGGAAATACGTTGTGAGCGCACGGTGGAAGCTGCTTCAACCACAGGCCAAGGGTTTTTGGATGGTTATGGGTATGCAGATCTTGAAGAATGGCCACAACTTACCCAACTTTGAAATTCCTTTACGGCAAGGGGTGGTAAACCAGGAACTCGCTCTAAAAAGCCGACCTTCACAACATCTCGGTCTTTTTGGTTTTTCATCGCCGCAAAGGGGTGTTTCCGGTTGCTCTTTACTTGGGTGTTTTCTCGCAGGAGAAGATGAAACTTCAAGGTGTTGGTCGGGAGGAATGGTTGCGATATGGCATGGAGACTTTGAGCCACCGAAACCTTGCAGATTTGTGCGGTAACTCGTTGCTTGGTAAAAGGCTCAACCCATGTGTGGAATCCGGAAGTGAAGGTGCTTCGCCCACGACCTGTGTTCATGTTGGCCTTTGAACTGGCCTTTAGATGAACATCAATTTTTCTGTTACAGCTCATCACGTTTTCTGTTACAGCTCAGGTTTTCCGCCCCTATTGCTGCTGCACAGCTCAGGTTTTCCGCCCCTATTGCTGCTGCAGCACTTTGCGCTGCCTTGGGAAGCTGGCGCCAGACTGGGACAGAGCAGTGATGTCCATTGAGCAGTAGGATCAACTGAGAAATTTGCCATTGGCAGATTCAACTTATTTGGGCTTAGATTCACAGGTGTATTCAGTGTTCCACGGTCGCCGGCAGCAGCTGGTTCGTCAGTTGTACTTAGCAACTCAAAGCTGCGCAGCCGATTCACCTGTCACGGTTGAGAAGTGAAATTGTGGTTGTTGCGTCTCCTTCACTATGTCTGACTGGATGCGCATCATGCTTGAGATTTATTACATTAAGAGTCGAACGCATTCTTCATTTTTTGCAGGATTCAATGCAAATGGTTTGCTGGTGCATGTCAATCTTGATGACATAGTGTGAACTAATGAGACGAGAAAAGTTGTTTGGGCACCCGCATTCTATTAGGTTCAACCAACGTGTCAGGGTTTTGCTGCTGTGAGCGTTGACCATGGCACCTCGCAGAAAGAAATCGAAGGTGTCTCAGATTGTCGCTGGTCCGGAAACAGCTGCAGTGCCAATGTCTTCGGAGGGGGCACCCGCAGTCATCAAGTTGACCAGTGCGTTGATTGAGAATTTGTTCAGCTTGCGGCATTGCTCTGACAAGTCCATCCACCTGGACGATGTGGGCGAACTGAAGGTCAAGGATGGCCTTTTCCAGTGGCCTGTTTTGCATGGAGGCACTTTCAAGCAGCTGGCTGCACGTGCGTGGACAGATCCCGATCGCCTATGTGAGATGTCAGCCAACTTTGTGAGCCGGGTGGGGCTCACGAGTTCCAATGATATTGGTGAGTTTGTGCAGGAGTTTTGCAAAGTTGAGGCTCTGGTTGAACGGGCTGAAGGGTTGTGTTTCCTTGTTTAAGTTTAAGACGCAATTTGCGCACGGAGAGCTTTAACTTGGAGTAGCCAAGAGGAATACTTCATGCCAGCCATGTCACAATTTCAGGCTTGGCCTCCAGAGAAGGGCCTGGAGTTTGAGACGTCGATCTTGAGTTGGTCGTTCGAGGATGCAGCTTTCTGGCGGGGCAAGTCCGTTGCAATGTCAGAGATCATCAACTACGCTCGGAGCATCGCCTCCACCAGATTTCGAGAGGCTTGCAAGGGCTTGGCACCGGGCTATGTTTGTTTGTAAACCGCCTGAATCAAGATTCGGCCTTGCCTTCCGATCGGCTTGATCAGTGAGTAGGCCAAATTTCAACAATGATATATACTTCCATGAAGTCAAGATGTTATTCTTAGGCTTTTTGACATTCAGGCAGAGTTAGCAGTTTGCGTGTCAGAGGAAAGATTGAAGCAGTCGCAAGTAAATGTTTGCCAAGTGGTCCATGTTAAGTAGGTTTTTGAGAAGAGGATATGTTTGTCATTGTATGTCCCAGTAGAACACGCCATGGGCAGAACAAGCCATGGCCGAGTGCCCTTGTCCACTTTGCTGCGTAGAAGTTGCAGATGCGTGGCACGGGTGTGTTTCCAGCAGTTTTTAGACATCCAGCCACAAGTTGAAGAAGCAAGAGCAGAGTTTCAGTCTTGGACACGAGATCGGAAAGAGCCTCGGAACTTGTGGGTTCGGAATCGGCGTTGACATACATAATAATTAATTACATCATACTGAGACCTTCCATTTTTTTGGTCTCCCAATGCTTTCTAGATTCGCTCCTCAATCTTTCCCTTGGGTGTCTATAGCAGATCAGGAACTATGGGTGGCCGAGGCGTTCAACTGCTCGCAGACATGCAGCTGGTATGGTGGTGACAAGCAAGCATCAGGCTCTGCCAGCCTGGATGAGGATGCAGATGTTTTGTTCGCATCAAGTCCTGATCAGCAGTCAGGCGGAGAACCTGAAACCTTCTTTGCTTCTGACGAAGAAGCCAGCTCTTTTGGTTCCAGGAATCAGAAAAAGAGTGAAGATGAGCTGTTCTATTCATCAGATGGAGACGAGAGGGCTCGGAAACGAGCCCGGCACGCACCCCGTCAGAGGGACAGTGCCAAATTCCTGGAAAAAGAAGTTTGTCGTCGAGCTTTAGCAGCTTTGTTGGGTATAGGCGGATCCACTTTTGAGAGAATTCGACGTGGAGAAGCTGCCTACACGAATGACGCCAGAAAACCATTGCAGAAACACCCTACCTTCGGCTTCTCTTTGAGAGGTGACACGGGAAAGGTTTGGGAAGAAATTGTCATGTTCTTCTACCACATCTACCATACCTCTGCAGAAGTTATGCCCACAGGATGGCACACCATCAAAGAGAGAGGTGCTCAGCCTTTAGAAACACCTTTTCCGGAAGATTGCCAAAATGCTGGTGCAAACGCAGAGGAACTCCAGCGACTTGTCAATAGCATTGGGCGCACCCTGAACACTTTCGCCACGGACGTGGATTGTCAGATGATCGGTCCCGGTACTTTTGCTGGACCCAGGCGGTGCCTCCAGCATGGGAACAGGACTGACCTTTTTTGGGAGTATTTGGCTTTTGCCGAATCGCGCAAAGTTAAGCCTGCATCGTACAACACCTACATGCGAGTGGCTAATTCAGTTTTGGGGCCAGGCTTGAGAGATGGCCACCTAAGGTTTCGGAAGCCGAGTGAGCACGCTCAGTGCGACTATTGCTTCCAAGCCCGGGAGCGCATCAGAAAGGCAAAGTCCAAGGAGGTTAAGCTGGCTGAGGAAAGGGAGCTTGTTCGCCACCGATTGGCTCAATGGCTCGATCGTCAGTGTTATTGGGCCTTTAGATCGATGAGCCAGGCCTACTTTGTGGATTTGGTTGCCAATGGGCAGCGCCTTGCCATTTTCCACATCACATCTTTGCCTATGGAACCCTTAGCCTAAAATGTTTATGGCTGGAAGTTATTATTTGGAGACCCTGGTGGCCCTTGTTCCCACTACCTATCTTAGATGTCTCTAGATTTTATGATATGTGCTGTTCAGCATTTCCACGTCTTCGCTCCCACGCGCCTGCTTTGGGCTTCCTCCGCGATTGCTCAGTGCCACTATGTTTTTCAGGTTTTGCAAACAGGGCACCCACAAAACCGAACCAAGTTCACAGCCCAGCTGCCCCCAAGTCGGAACCACACGCGCAAGCTTTCGAAATATGTCCAGACAGAAAGAATTTAGTTATAATGTCAGGTACAATGTCAGAATATATGTCAGATAAAGTTAACGCATTGTATTTTGAGTTTCCTGACAGGCTGCATAGCAGGCAAAACAAAAGCAAACATAATGCGCCATATGTTGGGCTTATGTTCAGCCTTTTCAACCCAGACCTAAGAAAAATTAAGTCTGGGTTGAAAACGCCACCTTTTTTGGGTCATGTCGGGGCCATGTTGGGCCTATGTTGGGTCCATTTTTGTCCATGTTGGGCTCTTGCGGGGCATGTTGGGGCCATGATTGGGCCATCTTGATCCTATGTTGAGCTTATGAACAGCGTGTTCTTTTGGGGGTTGATTTCAAGGCCCAAAATAACACGTCATTTTGGGTCATGTTGGGGACATGTTGGAGTCATGTTGGGGCCATCTTGAGCCTTGTTGGGCCTATGTTGGACCAAAACGGCGTGATCTTTTCAAGTTTTCATATTAGGGCCTCAAAGAACGGGCTGTTTTCGGGTCAGGTCGGGGCCATGTTGGGCCTTATGCTTCTGTTGGTACGTACCCGTACCAGAATACGTGTCACATAAAGGTAAGAATACATGCTGGGTAAATTAATTTGTAAGAACATGAACATGTGTCAGATAGAATGCCCGAATGTATGTCAGATGTCATGTCGCAATATAGTTGTCAGTTGGTGGGTGTCATTCGAAGTAAAAAACTCATCGCTTTGATAATCTTCAGTTGGTGGGTGTCATTCGAAGTAAAAAAATCATCGCTTTGATAATCTTCAGTTGGTGGGTGTCATTCGAAGTAAAAAAGATTCAACGCATTGTTTTTTGGCAAGGAACTTCGTTTAAGTTTCCAGTCTTCAGGTTGGGTGCCCTTCCCAATGTGAGCTGTCTATGCTTGATAACGGATGGTATGGATCAAGCAAAGTTCCGAACACCAAGAACCAAAAAGAGGCAAACAAAACTTTTCAGCACGATGCACAGACCGTGCCTGCACGTCTCAGCCTGTTGGGCCCACGGTTGGGCCCTGTGCCTAGCCATTGGTGACGAGGACCTCAAGAAGAATTCCGAATGCACTATGGAACAGGTGGCGCGCACTTTGGACAAGATTCTGTATGAGAAGAAGAATTTACCCGCAGGAGTAAATCTTCAAGCTGACAATACATATAGAGAGACAAAGAATCAGTTTGTCGCTGCATTCGCAGCCTTGACAGTCGCCTTAGGCATCTTCCGTTTTTTCTCCTGCTCCTTCCTGAGGAAGGGGCACAGTGCCTCGATAGGCCCCAAATGCTTTCGATATTTGTTCTGATTGTTAGTTAGGAGGTCTAGCTTGAGTTCGCTGTTTTCTTTGCATCTGGCTTTTGCAAGGCCACGAAGACGTGGACCAGTATTTCTCTCAAGTTGCCGCTTTCCTCACCCCTCAAGAATTCTCTGTTCCTGATGATGTCGTGACTCTGTTGGACAGCGCCACCCGTCCGGAGCATGAGCCAGATATGCATCGGAAGTTAGCAAAACGAACAAAGGTCACGACGCAGGCATACAAGTTAGATGAGGTAGCTTGTTGGCAGGATTGGGTCGGTGCTCTTGGAATTCGCCTCCTGGGCCTACGAAACTTGAATTGTTCCAAGACCATGGCCATGGATCTCATTGGTTGAACTTGTCGATTTTACTTTTTTTGTTTTTTGCTAAGGGATTGTTTTCACAGCTTGCATGCAGCTATCAGGAAATGTGGGCCAGCTTCGGTTTTGCCTGAGGCAGGATATCGATCCGGTTTCCTTTGGTTCATGTGAGGTTGAGGAGCTGAGAGGCATTGATCACCAGCCCCATGGAAGTGATGTTCTGCTTTTGTGCAAACGGTTCATGGCAGACCCAGAGCCCTTCCGTGTGATTTGCCTTGTTAGTGCAGCGACTTGTGTGCAACTTCGATCCAGCTTCCAACAGCCGGTGGGTGTTTCTGATCGGAGAGCCATCTCAGAGACCCTGCGCAAGAACTTGAAGGCAAAAGCTCCTGTTTGTCGCAGGCAAGGTTCGATCACACTGGATGCAGAGGCTTACCTCATAGGTTGGGTTGAAGGAACATGGCCAAGAATCCCAAGACCGAACAGGTACAATTTTTTGGAGCTCCGACGTTTCCCCATTCCACATGTAGGGCATCAGGCCGCAGTGGCTTGGTCAGCGCCGCCCAGGTTTCGAGTTTACACAGTCTTGCGAGCCGATGAGGATTCAGACGAAGAAGACGACGACGGACCCTTGCAAGTCATGGCTTGAGTCATCAGCAGAGCAAAAAATGTGTGCGCTGGATATGGTTCATAAAAGTCCTTTCTTGGATTCTTATCATGCTCGTCTGTTTCCAAACAGTAGTCTGGACCGAATACTTCATGAGCAAAGGCTGTCTGCCACTGCCCTTTTTCACACCAATGCAGTCCGATGGTTTAGCTTCAGTGAAGTTCCTGGCTGAGAGAACATTTGTTGGGCCAAATCCTTGTTACTTTTGACTTTGAACTCTTATGGCGAGTTTTTTTTTTATGGCGAGATATTTTTTATGGCGAGATTTTTCTTATGGCGAGCGGTCCAGCGGACGGCTCTCCATAACATTTTTGCACCCAGGCCCATGTGATGATTACAATGAGTGTTCAGCGTGTCTAAACCCTAAACGGTCCAGCGTGGCTAAACCCTAAACGGTCCAGCGTGGCTAAACCCTAAACTGTATGGCATTTTGGGTGCGGCAGTACCGTTTAGGGGGATTGCTGGAGCTGATGATTTCACACCCCTGCCCCACTCTTCAGTGTGTTCTGATTTTACACTTCATCATTTGAGAACATTTTATCTTGTCATAATTGGATGATGTGCGATGACCAATCGGCTATCCCAATTCCATCTTTGTCACAGCCCAACTTTGGGAGAGCCGTCCAGCGGACGGCTCTCCATAAGAGTGTTTCAGTCGATCAGCCCGTTGTCACGGTCTCTATCTGTCATTCCAACCCCGGGGAACATATGTTAAGATGTTAGCAGCCCTTATGGCGAGCCGTCCAGCGGACGGCTCTCCATAACTCTTGGTCTGAGTGGCTTGTTTTGAGGCTAGTGGAAAGGTCATCGAAGGTTGTTGTTGTAGTTGTTTCCCTGATGTGTCAGGGAGAGAGCTTAGCAGTCCGTTTGCCTGGGCCTCCTTTGAAGCCTGAGAACCTGGCGCTTGGCTGCTTGTACTTCAACGATGGCAGTCAGAAAGCTTTAGCCGCATTCACTGTGTGGCTGGCCTTGCTGCTTGCAAGCGAAAAGCCTTCCGTGGAGGAAGCTGATTTGCAGCACCCTCAAGTTGTCAATTTGGTGGCATCACTGCTGAGGATCAAGACTCTATTCAAAGCCAGTGTGAACCAAGGAGATGAGGTCGACTCTGCAATTTCGAGGATAGTTCGCCAGAACACGGCCTCGAAAGTTCAGCCAGTGAGTTCTTTGACATGGGCATCCATTTTAGCCACCTTGGGCGAAGGGATCACCTTGGATCAAGCGATGATGGCGTACAACGCACACCCAGATGTTGCAGCATTCGAGGGAGAGGGGGTCGGAAGCATCTCGATAGATGGAAGGAAGAAACAGGCAGGAATATTTTAACCTGCTCGATGATCGTTGCTTTTTCTTTAGGTGGTTCTTTTGCCAGTCACAGAGTGGCTTTCATCATATTCTTGCACAGAGAGCGCATGTTAAGATACATTCTGCCAGTTTTCAGGTTCCTCATTATAACAAAACAAAGGGAGCAGCAAGTGCTTTTTTTTTTTGTGTGTTGGGGCCTTGTAAGTCAACCATTTGCAGAGACTTGTTGTGAATTGGAATCTTGCCCGCTCTTGTTTTGCAGGCGGTGAAGAACCTGTTCAGCAGAACATCCAACGCAGCTTTTGAAGTTCTTCTTCAGAGCACTCATGACATTGCGTGGGCTTTTGGCCCTTTCGGTGAGGTCTTTGGCACATACAGCTTTGCATTTCTTGGCTCTTCCCTGCCTCTTGAATCTGGGTCGCCGATGGATGATTGCATTCCTTCTCCTTTGCCAAACGAGCCTTGTGTGACCATTGATTGGAGCCTTCCCATGACAGACTCAGCCCAAGTGATTTTGTTCCAGAGGATCCTAGCGCACTGGAACAGATCAACAGCACATTTTCCGGTTGCCATGGAAAAGAAGTACAGGCTGAGCGCAGAAGAAGTGCAGGATCTGCGCCACCGAATCGTCCTTTTTGACCAGCTGCTGCCTCACATAAAGACCAGGATGGCCCCTGAGAAGGTTGATGAATGGCTGGCAGAAGTCAGTTCTTCTTCGAAGCGGGACGCTGACCTTCAGCAACTTTTGACTTCCAGGCCACCACGGTTTGCCATGTCCATGTTGCTCTCTGAACAGGAATCCGCGAAGAAGGACTTGCTTGACACTGAGCAGAAGAGAATTGAAGACAAAGAGGCCCAGCAGGCCGAAGTCGATGCAGCTCAGTGGTCCTTTTTCAAAGGCGCTCTTAAAAGAGATCATGGAAAGGTGGAACAGGCGCAAGCTGCCCCACGGCTTGTCCGGCAGAAGTTGCACCAGAAGCAGGTTCAGCAACGAGCTAAGCTGGCAACAGAAGGTGAGCATGCTTGCAAGGGATACCAGGACAGATTGAATTTTCGTGGCTTTGATTTTGCAGTTTTGATGCTCGGTTCGGCCCTTTCAGTTTGAGATGGTCACAAAGCAATTTACCAAGGGAATCTTTTTAATTTGCACCCGTCCAGGACTGCTATCTCCGAGTCTTGCAGCTTGAGAAGATTGAGCATGCCGCCGGTGAGATTTCCAAGATGAAGCAGCATGTTGTTTCCTGGCTTGAGCTGTTCTCGTTGCATCAGGACATTGATTGATTCACCTGTCAGCTTCCAAATTTACACAACTCGTTCTGTCATTCAATTTCCAATGCCGATGCCGAGTCCAAGATTTCTTGCAAAACCATGTTACCATGATTGTTTATTTTGAAGCAGCGCTTAGTTGTTGCTGCAAGGTGCCCGTCGTCTGATGCAAAATAACCATCATTCATGCCAGCTCTTGGTGTTGTTAGTCTTGCCCTTAAGACTACGAAAGCACGTTAACCCCGAACCTATTAAACTTTGTGTGCTCTGGGAGAATGCAAACATAATGTCGAAAAAGTGGAAGAAAGTGTGTCAGATAGAAGCATATACGTCAGATATCAGAGTATATGTCAGAAAGCATGCCAGATAAAATGTTGGAAACAATGTGAGCAATCATGACCACTAGCCACATAGAGCGCCGGATAATTTTTCATGATTTATGTCAGAATCACGGAAATACCTGTCAGATAGGCTTGTCATATTTAAATTGAATCTCAGAATTTGTGTTAGATAGAAAGCCAAGTCAGCATAAATGTTGAAGAAAACGCTGGCACAAATATCAAAAAGATTGCCATGGATTTTGAAATTCCAGGGAGTTATCCGAATATATATATATATATATTTCAGATAGACTGCCACAAGCTATGGCATTTTGAATTTGCAATATTAAATGACAAGAGCTGTCAGACAAAATGTCGGCATACATGCTGGAATATATATGTCAGATAAACTGTTAGAAACAATGTCAGACAGAATGCCAGTAGCCAAGGCTGGATATATACCAGAGAGAATCCAGATTATATATAAGGTCATAGGTTCGGTAGAATGTCAATGAACATGTTTGGGAAGGATATGAGCTATCAGTCCAAATGGTAGAATATATATATGTCAGCTAGAATCTAGAATGTCAGAAAAATCAGAATGCCAGATGGGTTGTCACAAAACATGGGAGGAAACATCTCAGAAAATATGTTAGATAGAATGCCAGGTCAAGTGCTGGAGCATTTGCCAGATAGATTGTCAGATAGGTCGACATGTCATATTGTATGTCGGACACTGGACGATGTATCTCAAATAAAATGCTTCAACGTGTGTCATGAGTATCTATTGGTGGAGATCACCCGAAGTAAATTTGAATATATTTATATTAAGGTGACATTTTGGAGCGCCAGGACTTTGCAATCACGCCAGTCTGCAGTGAATTTGTGCCATTTTGTTCTAACCAAAATTTTCGCGCCGTGTTCCCAGGCCAACCAAACTCATACTTCCCCTGACGATGTGCACGTCGTTGGATTTGTGGATTACAACGCTCCAGGGGCACGGCAAGCTTCCAAGGTCGACATCCTATCTCAAGGCATCAACCTGTGCAACAACCTTGGTGCCTCCAAGCAGAACGTGTGCATGATTCTCCTGCCAGATCTGGCCAGAGATAGCTCTCTCCGTGGGCTTTGGGATGAGGAGAAGCAGATCATAGAGTCGCTATTCGGCCAGAAATTGGATGTGGAGACCAGGTTTATCGACTTGTTGACACGCGAGCCCCGATCAGAAGGCCGCTCATGCGTCAGAAGGTGGGCTGCTGGCCGATTGGTTGTCAGTTCCGAATCCAAAAATGAGAATCATTGGCTGAACAGTGAGCTGGCTGTTTGTGGAAGACCAGTAGGACGTGCTGAGGGTGAGAATGGTGCGCCGTGTTCCATTCTCCCACGGTCAAGCGCCTTACTCCTTCCCGAGGGAGCATCACCAGACAGCGATTTGAAACTGGCTGACCGCACAAGACCATCGCCGGAGCAGACTGCAGCACAGAAAGGCCAACAGCGGCTGCAACTCCTGATCGAGTCACTGTTCCGCCACTCTGGCGTGAGGTCCCCTTGCTTGGTGGTTAACCTGACGGGGTACGTGGAGGAGCTTGCAGCAGCAGTTTCTCGGCAAGGACAAAGGTGTTTGGATGTTTGAAGGGGTGTATACCAGGAATCAGTCAGTCAGATCAGTCAGTTCATTTATAATAGCACAGCAATGATGATGTCAACAACAGAATCATGTCCAACCAAAGGGTTTGATCTCAGACATCTTCGAGAGCAGATGCGACTCAGCCAAGGTTCTGAATTTGAGGCTTTCTGGCAATTTGGCAGGAGAAGGTGGTGGTTTCATGTGGGAGAACCTTTTCTACTTGAGCCTTCACACCCTTGATTCAGCAATGGGCGTACAGTACGCACGCACTCGAGTTGCCCGAGAGTTGCTTGATGGATGGCTTTCGAAGCGCATCAGCTTCAACGGCAAGAAGTTCGAAGACGCGGAATGTGTGCTGACTGATGAGGCACAGCTGGTGGCTTTTTTGTTTAAGGAGCTAGTTCTCTTAAGCGTGAACCAGTGCTTGGTTGAGGAATTGATGATTTTCTTCCCCATAATTTCCTTGTTTCAGGAGATGAGAAGCATCCCTGGCGCTGAGTGTGTCAGATCTGTTGACTCCATGAGTCTTGAAGTTCTTGTACGCGAAGGGACCAAGTTGGTCATCCATCCTGACCAAGTTCGCCAGTGGCAAGCAAAGGGGCCGAAGTTCGAGGAAGAGTTCCAGGAGCTTCGCCAAGCCCATACTGAGAAGTACGAGACCATGCTCGCATCCATGATTCAACAGTCTTCCGGTGGAGCTTCTGCCGGGGCCAGTCAACTTGTGGCAGCTGAAGTGCAGGATGAGCCGGAGCAATCTGAGAACCAAGCCGAGGGTGAACTCGAATTGGTGAAGTTTGAATCCTTTGCCAAGCTGTCTGAAGCTGATCCTGTGACAATCCGAACCGCTTCGGAAATTACTGGTGTCGAGCTGATCAAGACTGCGTCCAAAAAAGTTTTCATGATGGCAGACAAGCAGAAAGCCATTCCTCGCCATAGCATTTTGGGTGGCTTTGGCACCGGAAAGCAACTTGCTTCTGAGATGCGAATGCTTTTCAAGGGAATTTTTCCAAAAATGATTTTAGCTGATAGCAAGCAGGAAAATAATACAGATTCTTTGTCGAACTTCTTGCCCGCACACCTGCGCGGTTTTGCAGGGCCGTAGGTTTTTATTCGTTTCTTGCAGAAACCATCATGACCCCCAAGGTATGTTCCACAAGATGATGAAGCTGAAGGACTTGCATTCGGATGGCCTGACGGGGACAAAACGCTTGTCCAGGTCGAGCACAGCTCGATCACTCCAGAGTGCACACATCAAGAAGTCATGACGCTCTACAAGCTTCTGATTCACCTGGAAAGGGTGAAGCGCCTGACCGAATACAAGATCTCCTACACGGACTGCGCCCGGGCGGCTGGAGAGTCTGGGGGCGGTGATAGCTTCAGAGTCAACTTGAAGCAGCCCCACAAGTACAAGTGCTTGGCAGGCACCAGTGAGCGAACCTCCTCCAAGTCATTTTTTGGCACCTGCATGTCGGAGGTTGAGCAAAGCACTGTGATTGGCAAGGTCTTCCGGTTCCGCTTCGAGCGGGTCAGTGGCTGCATCAAGCTGCAGAAGCCCTATTGCTTGATCCTGAAGGGCATCACTTTGAAGCCAAATCAGCCTGTTCAAATTGCGTGACCTTCTCCTTCCTTAGCTTTGAACCTCACTGAGTTTCTGCGTCCAGCCGGGCGGTAGAGGCGAAAGCTTGGAGTTCCTGCCCAGCATTTTGTGGTTTAAAGTCTTTGATACGGATTACTGATTTTGAAAACCGCAGCATAATGAGGCGAGCTGGGCAGGAGGAAAGTTTGAGACAATGAGCGGTAGAATTTTCCAATGTTTTCTGCCAGAAAGAGGAGCCTTGAGAACATTTAGTGTGAGAGATTAGTAAGTCGACACCAGGCACATATACATACCTTTTCAAATTTGTTGGGATGCAGTGGGCCAAAGGCACGTCCTGGCAGAATTTGCAGACTTTTGCAAAGGATGCTTGTTGAGCCAAAACAGAATGAGTGACACTTGACGCCCTTCTCCTTTCACCTCCCGGTCCATCCTCAGATCTATTTTTCTTTTCAAAGTCGTCAGTGAATTCCGATATCAAATTCGGAATAAATATATGTTTTGTTTGCAGCTATTGAAATTTTGAGTTGCAGCAGGCACATTTCCTCGGAAGCGTTTTTTGGCTTTGCAAGTTTCTCCTAGGAGCGTTGCGTGGTTTCATTTCATGGTGATGAAACGCAAGTCTTGGCTTCAGAAGCACCGTGCTTGGTTGAAGAACAAGAAGTCGTTTGAGAAAGCTTCCAAAAAATTGCGGCGGATGACACAGCACATCGGCGACATTGAGCTGCTTCCTCCGCCGGCTCCTGCATCGGCCATTGAGACTGAACGCATGCTAGTGGAATGGTCCATGGAGCGAATCTTACGAGGAATGGAAGCTGGAACCTGGAGACAGCTTGAGACCACCGAGCATTAAGGATTGCTCGGATGTATGTTTATTGTTTGAAATTGTGAGAGAAGACGTCAACAAATGGCGTGCTAATTAAAAACGACCAGGGGTGCTGTATTTGCAAAAAAATGAAGTTACAATTCAGTGTGGGTCAGCGCACTGAAATGTGGAGTGTTTTGAGTTTGGTACTGCAGAATGTGTTTTTAATACACCAGCCAAAACGACCTGTCATCAGAAAAGAATATTGGTCAGACAGAGAGGTTGCAGCTTTGACAATTTGAAGGGTGGTCAAAGACAAACGTGCAAACTGGCTTAAGGGTCATGTCATATCTTCAAAGATCACTTATTAAGCAACTTGAACCTCTTTCTCCGTCCACTTCGCAATGTTCAAAGCTCAATCTGTTGCAGCTATCCCTGGTCCTTTCTCCTTACCGTACATTCTCCATGGCGGAACTTGACGACATCAAGTTGTCTTTGGCTAGCTTCTACCAGCTTTCCCTGAAAGCCCGAGATGCCGGTGTAGTAGAAGATGAGTTTGAAGTCGTGAAAGAGACGGGAATTCAACTGGTGCAGCATCTCGGTGTGTGGGCCTCAACGAAGCCGTTGGCTGACTTGAGCACAGCGGTGATTGCAGCCAAGGTGATCGCCGAGTTGGGCCCGAAAGCGGATGTCAAGCCCATTTGCCATGCCTCACTTGGTGCAGCTGTGGAGATGAAAAACATTGGGTATTTGAGCACCCTGGAACCGAAAGTTCTCGAGCGAATTGGTTTCATGGCCAGGTTGGCCAATCAGCACATTCGCTGCTGGTTGTGGTCGGACGAAGTGATAGGGGTGGACACCTTGTACAATTTATGCTACCAGGCAAGCATGGTACTTGAAGATGTCATTTATGTTTCCGGCGCTGATCCAATGTGATTTAGATGTGAAAGACAAGGGATTGAAGATTCCCTTTTCGCCTGAGGCGGTTTTGTTGAATGCGTTCTGATTTAGATGAGAGAGACAAAGGAAGCAGCAACAGCAGCAGCGGCAAAAAACACTGAAGTGCGGCAGCCATGACTCGCTTTGATCAGATTGGCGGATCCCATTTGCTGTGAGCTGTCTTCACTACCCGTTGTTTTAGGCAGCAAATTGATCAGTCAAGCTGGCAGGTGTAAGTTTGTGCTCACATGGGTCACGGCTTTTGGTTGTCTCATTAGTTTTTTTCTCAGAGCTCCGAATGTTCGGGGATTGGCAAAGAGAGCCATGAGCGAACCGCTGAAGCGCATGATGCTGGCCCGACTCACTCAATCAGACCCAGAGTGCCACATGCACGATTCTCCATCGCATGTTGACAGACTCCAGGCCGATTCCAGCTACAAGCCGCCGCAGCCTGATTTTGCCATGGAAGATTCGCAGGATGACATGACTGGAAAAAAGTCTCCAGAGCAAGCTTCGAGTGCGACGGCAAAAGGTGAGCGGCTTCCTGCAACTCCACCCCAGACAGTTGCACGAAAAAAGCTTGCTGAAAAAGACAAACCTCAGCCTGATTCCCAAGGAGATGACGGCAGCATTTTCTATGAATCTGACCCTGAAGAAACTTTAGACGCAAAGAAGCGGCCAGCTGGAAACCAGCTGAAACCAGCCGTGTTGAAACGGCCAGCTTCAGCTAAAAAGCTCAAGCGTCCAGCCGCAGCAGGTTTGGATGATGACACCCAGCATTCGGATGAGCAGTCTCGAGTTGCTGATGAGCAGGTCGAGCCGGAGGCTGGGAAGTGCAAACGTCCAGCTGCAGGTTTGGATGATGACACCCAGCATGTGGATGAGCAGTCTCCGGTTGTTGATGAGATGGCTGAGCCGGAGGCATCTCCAGTTGCTGATGGGCAGGTCAAGGCGAAAAAATCAGCTAGGAAGTGCAAACGTCCAGCTGCAGCAGGGTTGGATGATGACCAATCTCTTCCTTCAGAGGCAGTTGCTGACGGGCAGGTTGAGCCGAAGCAGGGTGCGAAGAATTTGGGAAGTGATGAGAAGCCAATTTCTGCAGATGACAAGTCGAAAGTTTGGTGCCCGAATGCCGATTACTCATACAAGAGCACTGATGGCCGCTGGGAGGCACGGCTGTGATTTTGTCTAATTCCCACGATTTCCCACCACATGTGTTTGTAATTGTTTGGTACCCAGTTTCCTCCGCACCAAACATTTGTTTGGTAAATTGTTTGCAGGCAAAGGGCAGTTTGTTTTAGTTCAACCGGGCAGGTTTAGGATCCAATTTCAATTTCCCTGTGGAGGTGTTTGTCCACACCAGGAAGACTGGGAACCTGAAAGGTGAAAAATGGCGCATTTTTGTGGATTTGAAAAATTCCGAATCCCACAAGTCTCTCAGGCAAGCCGTTGAAATGGATTCCCACTTGGAAAATGCAGGGATCCAAATGTCGACTAGCTTTGACAATTTTTTCGAAGCCAGAGAGCCAAGCGGAGAAAAACTTGTGGTGAGTTTGCAGCATTTGGAGCGAATTTTTCCTTTATCCAAAGTCTTCGCCCCAACGCTGGCCCAACCAGCAACGTAGTGGCATACGGCTCAGACTTAGTTTTTGTCATTTCACAATATATATATATATATTATATTATATTTTATTATATTGTATTATATTATATATACATAGATAAATCAATACATGAGTAGCCAGAGCGTAGATAGATAGGTAGGTAGGTAGATAGATGAATAGATAGTATGGATAGATAGATAAATAGATAGATAGATAGATAGATAGATAGATAGACGGATAGATGATAGATCGATAGGTATATGGTTATATCAGGGAAATCTATTTCTGCAAATCAAATATCTACATGTGTGTATATATATATATTAACATGTCTGTCAGATAAATGCCAGAATGTGAGAGCAGTGTAGAAACCAACGCCGTCAAAACCGAATTGCAGGTACGTCCAGGATGATCATTCCTGATATCAGTATCCATCTCATGAAAGGCTTCTTTCGCAGTAGGCTCATGGGTCGTCCAACTATGACAGTCAATGGAAGACGAAAGACTCCAGGTTTTTCCCTTTTGGACCAAGTTTTCATGCCTCAATGCAGTTTGCGACAAATGTGACAAATTGTCATTCCCGCTTCAGAAACATCGGGCTTGGCAGCAACGCTGGATGCTCCAAAATCGATAAGCAAAAACTGAAGCCACCAAGTCTCACGAAACCACCAAGTTTCGCGAGATTGGATTAGGGATGGATCCTTTACAAGTCCCACTCTGGAAGTTTTTGTACCAGGGCTTGCACAATACCTGGCTCCGTCGGGTTGCATACGGAAGAGAAACCTTCGTCCTCCCTTTTGACAACATCGGCACTACAGTATTTGTGGCTGAATTGGTATCACAACTACGCACCCGCAACGTGGATTTGGACAAACTTGCTACCTTTCGAGCTCGCTCAGCAGGCCAATGTCTCAACCAGAAGGAAGCAACTCAAAACATGGCCAAAGACGTTGCTCAACTTCTCCAATCTTGGCTCCCGGCTCAACCATCTGCGGATGTGGCGAGCCAACAACGCATTCTCGAATTGGAGGCAGAATTGGCCAAGGTCAAATCGACCACCACTACCTCACCGGCACGGCACCTCAGGGCTCTACTCCGGCCACGACACCGATTGGACGCGCACTTCAAGGACAACCTGCCGCCTCTACGACCTTTGATCCTTCGACTCTACTTATCTCCCCGGGATCGGTGAACACTTGGCTCGTTGACAATCAACCCACATCATTGTCTGACACACAATACACAAAGTGGGTGAAAGCCCTGAAACTACCACAGCCCAAGCAGGACATCTTGGAGAAGAACTTGGAAAAGGTCAACGAATGGTGGCAAAACCAACCCGATGATGCTTCAAAGACTATTCAACGCGCAAGCGTGGCTATGGGTATCGACCCATGCAAGCACAAAGGGGCCTCCACGGATGAAGTCGTCCTCAAGGTCATGACGGTGGCGTTATTGATGCACTCCTGACTAGCAGCGTATTTGAAATCACCTGGCTCAAAAGCAGCCAACATCATGCGAACTTTGGCCGTGGCTCATTCCTGTATTCTTGTTCTTGCATTATTGACTCCTTTTACGTTGTCCCCTTCTGTTGATGTCTTTTTTGCTTTTCGGATGCTCCAAACGGTATTGATGGGCCAATATGTGTTATTGCATCCACGGGCCAATCCGAAACTCCAAGCCTTGCTCAAAGGCACTCCGATGCAGAGTATTTTCTTTTGCAGATCCTGGGATGACTTGTCAGTCGCCCTCCAGTGTTTCAAGCACCCTCAGGCGGTGTATATTCGGTTTTGCCACATTGCTAATTTTCAACCCAAGTTTTATGTTGGTTCCACGTCTTCGTTTGTTTTGGACCGCGAACACTCTCGCTATCGGAAATTTCTGCAAGTACAACAACATAAATTCGTGTTGGCCGAAGTTGCCTTACGGTTTTGGTGCAGATTTGACAATTTCTGGATGTGGTCTGTTTTCCCGATCTACACCAATAAATCCAATTTTTGGGCCTTGGAACAGGCCTTAATTCAATTGTGGCAACCTCGATTGAACACTCCGTTCATTTACCAGTTTTTCAATTGCCGAAAGGGACTCATTGCACGTACCAAATTTTCCGCCTCCCGACAATTTGGAGCATTTTCCTTGTGGCGGAAACTTCGCTGGCGATCTACACCTCATCATGTTAGACATGCTCTTCATAGTCCCCTTTTCCATCGACGAGTACAACTTTGGGAGATTATTCAGGATTTGGGCAGTAACTCCGTCAGACGCTTCCACATGGAGAAGAAACTCCGATCCAACGAAATTGGAGTCCAAGGCTGCTATTTTATTCGACGTCTTGCCAACAATCTGGGAGAACCCCAAAGGTCGTACGCCATCAATGCCATTGACCGAGCTTTGACCTTCTGGAAGGCCAAACGAGTCAGAAAACCGGTTCCTCTTCGCGCACCTTGGTTACTATGCCCCAATTGGACTCGCGATCTTCGACGACTGCTCACTTTCCACGTTCATCAAACTCGACGTTATAACACCACATTGCAGACTCCTTCCACGGCGATTGTCTTCACAAAGTTCCCCTCGGTGATGGATAGCTTGTGCAATCACAAAGAAGCCGCTACAAAATGGGCTGATGGCGAAACCCCAAAGTGTACCTGTGATGCCTTGCAACCTCATGCCCTTCACGCTCCCCAACCCGATCACCACTTGGTCCTGGACGGCGACAACCTACATTTCGAGGATGGCCCACACACGTCCATTGCGACTGGCTCACTTCAAAACAAAATCTTCCCACCTTCCAAAGAAATCCAGACATCGCTTTGCCTGGCTCTGCGGACGTGGACTACCCGGAACTCACTCCCTCCCTTACAAAAGTCTCATATTGATGAGCTCTGGCATCGTTCTATTCAATCCCATTACCACACCCTCAATAACCACATCACTCACAAAGACATCGGCCGCTTCAAACGTCTCTTTCCAGAAGCCGTCTTCCACAACGAGGACAAGCGCGCTACATCCTTACGAATCTACTGCCCCGTACTCTACTTCCAGTGCCTCACCACCACTTTCGCCGATCCGTTGGTATTTCGCAAGTTGGAGCAAAGCCCGAGTGACATCATCGAGAAGACCATCGCCGAGATCCAACGCCAATTTGGCAAAGCATACCCATGGGCACTTGGTGCTGGACGAGACCTACCGAATGCCTATGTTCTCCCAAAACGGAAGAAACAGTTCAAGGCCGGGCGACCCATCGTCAGCTTCTTCACGGCACCTTTCCGGCCTATGTTGAACTGCACCGCCAAGCTGATCTACAACCTTCTACCCCAAGCATTTCCCCACAACCTGGCAAAGGGTGATGTATTTGACCTCATCAAGCTCCTCAAGGACACCGACTTTGATTCACTC